GGAAAAAGGGTTGTTCGTGCTGCATGCATGTTTCATACTTTTCGCTTTTAAAAAGAGATGGACGCCTAATCAGATGCTTGGAAGAAACAATCGAGTTGGTTGTCTCGTTTTTGCTTCTTCAAACATTCCAATATACTTCTGTCTAGTTTTAAATACGAAAAGTGCGAAGAGTGCAAACAACATGAATAAACCTATTTTTGGGGAAAGAATCGAATCGATTCAGAATCGGGCATCTCTAGACAATAGAAATCTAGGAAATAACTGAATGTTTCCGATCGGAATTGATTCCGAAGAAGTCCATCCCACACGGCACAGAAATTTCAAAAAGCTATCAGAAAGGTTTCAGAAACATTGAACCTTTTTGAAATCTTCCTGAAATCTTTCTGAAAGCTTTTTGGAACTTCTGTGCTGTGTGGAATAATAGGTTTTGATTAATACACGCACCGCTCATTTTATTCTTACATCGAAATTATGACTAACTGCTATATATATTCTTTCTCTCTATTTCTAACTTCAAAAATATATTCGGAAAATAATCCTTATATCACGACGTCAAAATTGTTTGAAATGGTTCGATACGTCGCGTAAGGATGCTGAGACGGGTTGGTGGCGCCGTCCGACGGTGCTTCAAAGAGGTACCGTATCTCAAGCAATTTGAATTATAACGTACCGGGAAACACACTATGGCGTCAAGCTCCGAGCACAACTTCTGGTATCTTCCAATGTCATCATGGTGAAATGGCATATAATGGTACGATAACGTTATTACAAGCCCGTACGTTAAAGATACAACGTGGTGTGACGCACTGCCTGTCGTTCGAACTGACCTACATGCCTTTGTAACCCTTTAATTGTGGTACGTAGCGTAATGGAAAAACTTGATTAAATCGGGAGCAACACATATTTTCATTATGTTGTTTATACAACAATAATTAAAGTGCATCATATAGAATCCTCACCTGTATCTTTACGTGTATCCTCATCTGTACGTGTGTGTTTATGTATGTTGTGCTAAATATATCTCATAAACATGTATATTTCATATTGTTCTACGTATATTTCTGTAATTAATGCATGTATGGTGCTTGTGTTTACTTTTGTGATTTAAGCCAAATTATAATATAATAATTTTAAAATTATACGAATTTTGTTCAAAGAAGGAAGTTAGGTTATGTACAAGCTACCGTATCGAAGTATTTGCGTTACGCGATGTTATTCCACTCTACGATTGCATTTTGTTAACTGTGTTATTAATTGTGATATTTTTTATAACTTTCTTTTCGTTCGTACAAAATTTCCCTTTTTCGGACAAATTCGTACCACAATCGCCAATACGACGAGCACGTAGGGATGGACTAAAAAGAAGACAATATCGAGTTTGCAGGAACGGGATTACAACGCGAACGCTCGACTGCATGTCGGATCGGTCGTCCACTCGCCTCGTGTCCCTTTTGTGTCTCAGTGTTGCGCGCATTTCCGTCTCGCAACACATTCTACGGTCGTGCATCGCGCTCGCACTTGCAAATGGGATATGCATATTTGACAAATCTTTTGCGCACGCGAAGGACTACGCATACTCTGCCTCTGTAATCGACGAGATTTACAGTCGCACGTGCATTTCGCGTTACCTAATCGGCAAATTTCCAGTGGAAATTCCGCGATATTTCAAAACCCCTTCGCTTCCGCGTGCTGAGTCGAGTTCTCCCCGTTTTTTCAAACAGCTGCATCATGCAGCATTTTCGCGAAGCTGTTCGCTTAAGAACGGTCTCATTTTTGTTTAACGAAGAGAAGATGAATTTACCTTGTAGCATCAAAGTGCATACTGACGTTTTTTTACTCAATAGCTTTCCATTTTTCAACTCCTCTCAAAGTAAGGCAAGACTTTTATATTTAATTGTTTCATAAAATACATATTTTTCCAGAAATAAACTTTTATGTACAATTTAAATAGAGAAATAAGATATAATTTATAAATATGATATAAAAGAAATTTTATATATTTTAATGTTAGTTTCTTGAAGATGTTTAATGAACTAAATAATTTATATATAAATTAAAAGGGCCTATACACATCCATGAGATTTAAAGAGTGTCATCCTTGAAATATGTAACTTTGTGTAATTAGTCGACTATTAATTCTTGACTTTACAATAAAAGCGTCTAATGCCTGGACATATTTTTAACTCTTATTGTTTAAATCTTTAAATATGGATATTTAAACACCTTTGAATATTCATATTTAAAAATCGAAACAATAAGAAACAATAAGAACATCCTCAGTTAAGAATGTCCAGATATTAAATACTTTTATTGTAAAGTCAAGAATTAATAGTTGATTGATTACACTAAATGATGCATTTCAGGGATGATACTCTTCAACTAATCTTATGGACAATTACAGCCTAACAGATCTTTTTCAATTTATTATCAATAAGTAAAGACTAGTAATGTAAGTAAATAATAGTAATGTTTAAGATTAAATAGTATCCAAGCATTAGTACATTGACTTTATACAAAAAGCACTTAATCATTCTTATTATTTACAGGGACTGATGACTGATAGCATTTCGCAAGAACCAACCGCGTAATCTACAGATGGAGAAGGTGCAGCACAAGCGCAAGGGAATGAAAATGCAAAATGCTGGTGAAGGCATCCGCTCTAAAAAAAAGAAAGGAAGTCGAAAAGTTGACCGTTTCATCAAAACTTGGAAATTGCAAAGTAAGCCGCATTGGCCATTACACTTTCAAATTGAGAGAACAAATTGATCTAATTTTAGATCAAGCTCGAATCACCATCCGCGATAGCTCCGGTTCGTTTGCCCCGGAAGCAGCGAGCTAATATCTTAATATTCAGCGCGTTCGTGTTCGTTATAATCGCAGTCGCATCGGTATTACAAAACGCGTACCGTAGCATAGCAACCCGGTTTCAGCGCAAAACGAATGATAATCACGCGATTAAACACCCGGCACGAGTACACATTCGTGCGAGCTAGCGCGTATCCGTTAATGCGATCATACGTGATAAATTCAACGCCACTCAAACGCGATCATCGGAATTGCGTTACACTATTACGGAGTTTACAGCGTTCCCAACGGGCGGAATACAGTTCCGCTTGCTATGTGAAATCATTAAAGTTTCGACGCGCGACGGTCTAACTTATAGCTGTACAGTGTACATCCGAAGCGTACATCCTGTATCTCGCCCTTATTCCCCAATTCCCGACTGCCCCCTGCCCCCAACCTCAATCAGGACTTTGACGACTGAGCTCTCTTAAGTCTCGCTCAAGTGTTCTGCTATAGCGCAATACGAGTTTGTTCTTTAGTTCTTTTGTGCGGCTCCGATGCAATTCTCCTGCAATTGATCCACTCGAAATCGGATCTCTGCGGTAAAGGATCGGCAAGACCGCTCTATATCTCGAATGCAATGCACGTTTTCGTTGATTTTTCATTATAAGCGAGCTAATTTCCTCCGCGCTTCTTATTAGTTATCGTTTTATTTAATAAGCAGGAGTACGTGACGTAACTGTGTAAAATATCTTTCTATTTATTTGATAGCAGTTGCGTGTGTTATACAAGAACGCGCGCAGTGATTCTACTATATATACGAATATATATCAAATAATCAAATATTTGTGATCCAGATATGTTTTAAAATGTGGTATACATATACGTGAAACACTTAAATAATTCAGTAAGTCATTGACTTCTATGTATAGAATTATTTTGACTGCAAGCCGTTACGAGACTGAATACGTTTCAAGTTTGGTGCGACAAAGACCGCGCGACCTTCAACTCAACACAGTCGTAAACCTAGACATAAAAGCGTATCACGTGTGCCGTATCGCTTGTTATTTTCAATTATATCAAATCGTTCGGAGCACCAATACGATATTTCGCAACGCAATCATTTTGTCGAGAGCATCAAAAGCAATCAAACGGTAACCTCACGAAATTCTAATGGTTTTTATCATGTTGGTTATTCATTTAAATGTAAAAATAAATTATTCCGTGTTATTCTATCTCTATTATTCTCATCAAGTCTACGTATTAATTTCAAACAATCTCTCCACCACTGTGGACTAATTAAGAAAATTATTTTCTTTTGTTTCAGACACGAACTTGTTCAATCACATTCAATCGGAGGTAGCACAGCAGAGTTGTAGTTCTAGTGGGCGCTAATGCGGCACCGGAGGATCCGACTCGGGTTGAGCACAACTGGCTCAAAGGTACATTTATTGACTTTTTATACTTCTCAATGTATCTCCTATTTTCTGTTCTATTCTATTTAACGAATAAGATTTGTGTGCTTCAAAAATTGAGATAGAGCTTTTAGAAATAATAAAAACACAATTGCAAAACTTCTTCATATCTACATATTTGTTCGTTAAGCCAAATCTCAGAGTCTAATTAGAAAATATTTTTCTGTTTCAGATCTAGATATAGCAGAAAGTGGCCGACTCTGATACGCAAATGGTGATTGGTAAGCAAGAATTGGGCGAAAAATTAGAGGTGATGGATTTTTTTAATAGTTAAAAATTTTTTTAATTGTAAACAGTGCGATTTACGTAGTCTGTAGATTTTTGCATGTTAAATTTTGCATATACGTGTATATGAATAAGAATCATTGAGTAAGATGCAGTAGTATAAGTCGTGCTCTTTTTGCTTTGAAAATCGAATCAATGATTACTAAATTAAATTTATATATAATTACTACATGATAAAAAACAATTTACTATTATTACACGCTATATAAGGCGAAAACAATGTTTGTTATGTCTACCTCATATAATCACTTTTGCGTATTCTTTATTATTAACAACAAATTTTTTCTAAAAAAACATTTTGTGTTTTTTGCTGCTTTATTATTTCTCGTAAAACATCATGACCTTGCAAATATATATAATTCATAAATATTGACTTATATCACTGTCACGCTCGATGATACTACTTTTTGATATAAATATTGAAATGACGTCAAATAAGATTCGATATTTAGACTTCGCAAAGTGCGAGTCATGTGTTAAAATTGCGTTTCCTCTCGCGTAATTCGCGTTGCGTTCTCCGCGGTCATTATTTTTCTAGATTTTTATACGCAGATTTACATGATTATATTTTACCTGATTATATTTTGTAAAATGAGAAATACAAGTTTCGTTAATTTCAACGTGACTATTTCGCGGATGTAACGATTCAGTTTTTACTAACAGACATATTTATTTCTCGATTGCCGCGTTTTATACTTTCCAATTTTATGCACAAAACGTCACTTGTAATACGGTACGTTGGCTAATAGACACGATAATTCTTCATAAAAAAAAAATCGAAAAATAAACTGCGTTTACGTTTACTAAAGATAGGAACGTCGCGGTATTCGCGATTATTTTGTTCGCTTACGGGTTAATAGATTTTGCGAACGCCACAATTTTTTATTTTTGGTTTTTGCACGAATATTCGTGTCAACCAATACGTTCACTAAAGTGACGTATAAATATTCACGGTATATTCACGGTAGTCGATTACATATACGGTGTACACGGTGGTCGATTATATTTTGCTCGCGTATCGCTGATAGATTTGGTAACCGCGGTATATTTTTTTTTTTTTACTTTTTCTGTACTTACATTCGCGTCGCGATCACGTTCTTTCGAGGAATACGGACCGTTGAATCGAGTACGCCGAACATTTGAACAGCAAACTTTGTGGGGGAATTTATGAGCGGCCTTCGCAAAAAAATACCACGAATCTATCTCCGCAGCTACTGCGGAACAGACTTTGCATGTACATCGCAAAGTGATCTTCGCTGAAGGAAAAAAGCGGAGCCTTCGTGCGTGAGATGATCATGCCCCTCGCTCGATATCTTTGCTTATACATAAGTCCTTCTCGCGCTGCGAGTTCATTGAAATGACAGTGCAAGACGTATTGAAAAGATCCAACGAAGTTACCGTTAAATTTGATATATTCATTTCGCGCTTCGTTTCTCAAATTAGTATTCGCGAGTCTCGTTTCTCAAATATTAAAATCGCTCCGCGAAACGGAGCATTTTCTTTTTCGTTCTGGAGTACGCGGAAAACATTGCGATTTTCATCTCACGGTTCTCTCACGCGATTCACGAGTGCATTATTAAAATACCGGAATTTACGGTGCTTTCCATCGCTATCTCGTCAAGATATCCGTTGAACGCCGTTAAAACTAGAATATTAATCGCATCGCGAGTAAAGTGCAATCGACGATGCACAGAGCTTGGATCATACGGAGTTCTGAATGCAGAGGGACGCAGATGGATGCAGTTCGGATGTGGCCGGGGAGTTTCGTCGACGGATTTAGTTGGACATCAGTAAGACCTTTCAACGCGAACTGGTGAGCGTACAATCTCAACACTCGCAGAGTGTATCAGCAAATTATTAGTAATAGTAGTTATTATGTAGCTGTAAATCGCACTGTTAAAAGAAATTGCTATGAAAACTAGATGTTCTGATTTATAATATCCGAATTATATATGAAAAAAATGTTATTCGATTATTATTATATAACTCTGGATATACAGATTACTTTCATATATAATTCGCTTTTGCTATTTTATTAACTTATTTAATTATATTTGTTTGTAACAAGATATAAAATGATAATTGTCATTTTACATTTTACATTTAATATATGTGACAAAGAAAGACCATGAGAGAAATATATATTGCAATTGTCTTTTTTACTTTAAAATCTGATATCTTTACGTGCAATCTAATATGACTTTAATATCTGATATGTTTATATTTGGAAAGTTTATTTTCAAGCTGTTTTAAATCAGTACGAAATATGAATATGGGAGGCAAGTTTCTATAGTTACAAAAATCCAGCAATTAATTCTTTTAACAAAGGAAGATTCTTTTTTAATTTGTGTTTTTCGTGGAAAGAAAATGACAAAAACGTCGCGAACGGAAGACAACCGGAACAAATAAGCATTGTTTCGAGATACTTAAAATAAAAATATATGGTGTTTTTTTTTTCATATATAGCGGCGAAAACGTGTAATCCACTTCGTACAAGTCAAAATCGAGCCGTATTAGAGGATTATCTTCAGATTTAGGTTTCAAATAAGAAATGAAATACGAACTGTAGTGTCTGGGTAGGTTACCGTGTCTGGGGAGCACTTTGCTCCTAGCATAGCATCACATTAGCCCATAATTAACCGGTCGATATCGGCAATTATTTCACCGCTATCGCCATGCGTCCCCCGAGACACGTAAATTCGTTTTATTACAATAACACGCGACATCGATTTACCTGATTATTAGGGAATGTTCCGTCCTTGTCGATAGCGTTCACCTGGGTGACTTTGCTACCCACAGGTTCACCCTCGAGCACGGTCTCCTGTTCTCGTTCAGTGAACAGTGGTATCTCGTCGTTAACATCCTCCAGCATAATATACACGGTCGCTTCAGAGGCCAACTGTTGAGCTCCATTATTCTAAAGAAACAAATTTGATCACGCGGTTACGAAAGCTCGAGCATTGCGTGATGTCGACTTCTTGGTGCTGCGTGCTTTGTTACACAACACTTACATATGATATTTTATTTAACATTGTGTGTTCTCTTTAAACTTCACTTCTTGAATTTATATTTAACGCTAAAATACGCGCGTAATACAAATAGAAGCCGAAATTCGATATAGCAAAATAATATCACGATAATTTGGTAAAGTTTTACCATTGTGTGATGTAACCACTGAAAAACAAAGATCACCCAGCAACACCAGAACGTGACATCACGGCGTTCCCTTTCATAAAACAATTTAATTATGCCAACATTTCCTCATTCGCGGAGGACGAGTCGTACCTCCACTCGTATGGTGAGATTATATTCCTTTATGCTCTCGTAGTCCAACGGATGGTTAACCTTAATGTCGGCCCAAGTCACCGACTGCTCAGCGCGTTGCTGAAGGTAAAACGTATGAAACTTGTTGGTCTGCGCCGTGGAACCGGGCATTAAGTGGTAAAAGACCGTTGGATTATTGTCGATTCCAGAGCTGTCGACACACACAAAGGCACGTATTACAAAGGCGCGTTACCGGTTGCTCCGGGGCGCCGAGAACGACTTAACGAAACGGAAACGGAAAAACAGAAACGAGAACGGAAATCTAAGGTGGAAGAGAGAAGGAGAGAGAAAGAGAGAGAGAGAAAGAAAGAAAGAGAAAGTCGTACACATATTCGATACTTTGAAGATGGAACAACCGATATTCTTACGTGACTGTAGAATAGAATAGAAAGACAGTTGTTACATACTCGGCTATGTAACGGCTCGACCTCTCTTCGACGTTATTGTTCCAGCTCCAAGATACGGATATACAGGATACCCGCGACTAGACGCGCTTCCTTTTGTCAATAGATACCGTGATCCGCATAAGGGGAACGTAACTTAGCGTTGGATGAGGAAGTACGCTTCAGAATTTCTTATACTATAATTTCATCAAATACGTTGGAATCGTGAATGTGTACACGTAGTTGCATCGGCAGAAATCGTTAAAGAATATCACTCAATAGTCCCGTAACAACGTGATTCAAGTCAGCCAATAACAGTGTAATTATACTGATAGGGATACATATGCACTGTATATACCGTGTCGTTCAACTCGATCCTTAAGCTTTAAATTCTGAATTGAAATCAATTTGCGCTGTGTTTAACTATCGAGAGATTATATCTCGCAGAAAAAAAAGTCGTAAATATCGAATATTCCAGCCACTTAAAAATCCACAGACAGAAAAGGATAGCGCGCGGTCGTTTTGGAGCATCCCGTACATATGTATACCGAAAACGGACTATCGTTACTGTCAATATAACGAGAGGAAAAATGTCTTGAAATAAAAGATCGTCATGCGATGCGACGCGTACGCGTTCGCACACGCGTGAACGTATGCGTACGCGATCAGAGAGAAGTGATAGACAAGTAAACGATTTGAAACGGGTCCGATTGTCGTCACGGAAAAAAGAGAGACTCCTTCGCTGGGATGTGTTATTAACATATCTAAAGTAAAACGAGGAGATAATGAATACTTCAACAACACAATCTCACTGATCTCTATACACTGTGAGCGCGGCACAGAGTGGCAGTCATCGTCGACTGCATCTTTTCGACGCGATCATCCCTGACTGCACGTCCAGTGCGGAAATTGAAACCGGCACAATCTCGGCGATTACAAGTCTCCGGGTGGTGCTTGTTACGCGAAAGTGAGTCAATCCGTGAAACTAAATGACACACATAGCTGAGTAGGCAATATAAAAGTCCGCAGGTCAAACTTAGCTCACTCAAAACTATCGGAGTTAACTCGCTTCTTCGTAACACACCGAACGCACAGCGTTCTCCGATCTTTACCTCTGATGGAATAATTGGAATGAAACACGTCGGTTCAACGCGAGAACAGCTCCAGGCTTCAGGTCGTATCGGAAATTGCAACTCGTCGAAATTATGCTGATTACGCGTATAGCGATCAGTGGTGGCTTTACCTAACGCGCCGCACGTCTTTGCTTCCCGTCGTTCCTTTATTTTCCCCTTCCGTTTCTTTATTCGATACGTTTACGCACACACACACACACACACACACACACACACGCACACACACATACATATATTTACGCATGTACAGTCGTACATGTCCGCACGCGTTAACAGAGCGAGCTCTTTTCGAAGGACGACCACAACCCTAGGCAAAGTTCACGCAGTCAAAAGGCACATATTTGCTGCTCTAGCTACATTCCCTTTCGCTCACGCGAGTCAATTACACAATTATCCCCCGGCTGTTGCCACTGTTAATTCGATTGCAGAAGTGTTACGCTTTGGCTGTGTGTATATGTGCTGTGTGTATTAGGCGCGCGAGCTTTGTTCGAACGCGGAGTCGAGCTCGCGAATGAGTGATTAGTCGATCAGACTGTTATTCGCCGGTGTATTGTTGCTCGCCATGTTAGAAATTTTACTAAGTCCGGATGAAGAGAGCGCGCGCAGCGGGAAATGATACAGCTCGATGTTCACAGGGATAATTTACACACGAGGACAGGCGACGAATGTAAAAGACTTTAGCCGCAATTAACGTGTAGTTTCGCGCGTAGTTTATTAACGAAGTGAAAGCTGAGTGTGTTATGGAAGCGCGATTCTCCTCGTCCTTACGTCCTCGAGTCACGTGTATCAACTTGTTTTAGCTCGCGAAAAGCGCAAGTACGTTGAATTGTTGAAAGTTCAAGTAGATGGCTGATTTGCAAGTTAAAATTACGTGTCCGATAAGATTAACATTTTAGCCCGCTATTGCGGAACGTTACATCGTCGTGGCATGAGACACTCACATTACACTGCTAATGCTTAGGAGAAACGACGGGCAGTCGGTGGAGAGCTTAAAATCGGTAATGTAGTTAGCTCGCTCGTAAAATTCCCGTAAAGTTTTACCATAGCGATTTAAATGCCACGGCAGGTCCACTGCGAGCAAGTTTAAAATGCTAAAATCTGCATCAGTGCGTCGAAAAAGGAAAAAGAGAAAAGATGAAAAGTCTTCACGCGGAAATATTATCAGATAAGGTGAAAGAATTTTGCGATATTATCCGACAGATTTTATTGTCATATATATATATATATATATATATATATATATATATATATATATATATATATATAGAACAGATGTTATATATTGTCACGTAGTTCAGTTTACATTGACTACGAGACACAAGTCAAGTACGAGATATAAAACAATTGTAAAAACCAACGACGTAGACGCGTCGAATAAAATTGGAAGGTAATGTGAATTATGACGAAATTAAATGACGAATTTAAATTGACGCATATATCGCGGTACTTCGCGCAAACGACGAATTTTAATTAAAAGCAAATTGGATAGCGCGCATACGTATAATTATTGAAAAGTACACGAAGCAAAATAAATTCTTTGAAATTTTCTACCAAAGGCAAGCATTATTTAGCTTTTTTAAATACAGCCGTTCAATGTCTCTCTTCTATCCAGCTTTTTTAAACAGTTTGTTAAACCTTTTTGATGGATTATGTTGTCAACAACGAGCTTCTAATTGACAAATTCAATCTGCACAACGTAAAATGTTTTCGCAATCGCGTACACTACGAAATTTGACGAATTATCGAAGATATTTCCGCGTATCGGTACCTATTCAATATATTTTGGACAATATATCTCTCATTTACCCATTATAATTTAATAACCGACTAAAAGATGCAAGATAAACTTCCGCCTCCAAAATCTCGCCGGAACGATTATCGCGCTCTTCGTCGCAGCAAAAGTTACGCGGGATTCATTAACTACAATTAACCTTCATTTACTAATTCGCGATTCCGCGGAGCTTCGAAATTAATTATTTCGACAGCGCATTATCGCTTGGGTTCTAATTCGATTTAAATAAATTGTCGAGTTGTAACTTGAACGATTATCTTTCCGAAATGCATAAACCCACTGCAGGAGCACCACAGCAGTTGAATTAAATGAAATTGATTGGGATTCATTTCGAATTTAATCCAAATTACAAATTTCTAATCTTTGAAATATCAGAACATGAAACATTAACAGTTTTACATTCTTAAAGAGAATAATACATTTCTCATTCATTGATAACTGATCAATATAGTACTACGGCGATATCCTTTCTCAATTTCCTTGGAACTAGTGTTTTTAAAATGTTTTATCACGCGCGCGTCAATAATCGGTTATATAATTCCAGGGAAAGAAATTATCTTTTCTTAATTCTACTTTCATCTTGTTATCGCAAATATCGATAAACCACAGCGCGTGTCAAGAATTTTCCAATTAATTTAATTAATCTAGTCCCATTAATTAATCTACATTGGTGTCGAGTAGATGATGAAATTTGCGGCGGCTTTAATTCCTTTCAATTCGTTTTAATTAATCTAATTTTTACGAGAGATCCGTAAAATCCCCCTTAGGGAGTTATTCTTCCTCTCCTAATTAATTCCCGTAAATTCATAACAGTCTGACTCAATATAATCGTCCGTAAGTCCGGGCTCGGCTCATCGATCGAACGAACCGCATGGCTCTATTACATGCGTGTTCGATCGCCCGATCGTGTTGCTCGTCTATGCACCCGCGCCCGCGCGCGCATAGACGTGTGGTGATTGCACTCGCGCGCATGTATGTGTGGTACGTGTATGAGGTGTGTGTGTATGTGTGTGTGTGAGGTGTATGTGTAGTGCGTGCTCTCCCTTGTCGCGCCGCGTATGAACGATGTATGTCGCGTGTACACACGGCTGTAGCACGTACACAACCCTTCTGTCATCCGTTAGACGTTCGCGAAACGTCCATCGATCTGGAAGGATCCCGCTGTCTCCCGAGAGGGATTCCTCCCCGGTTCAAAGGGTGCGCGGCCGAAATTGACAGCGCCGTTTGTCATTTCGAACACGGGCGCGACGTTGACGTCCTACACAGGACGGAACCGCCGACCGTAATTTTCATGATCGATGCTTTCAGCAATTTTTATTTTTCTCCGACCGATATATACGACTATTGCACTTTTTGAGAACAAAGACGAATTTTACGAGAGATGAAAAATGGGGAAGCTTTAGATGAGAGCTAGCGAAGTTAAGTTATATTGTGGAATATTCACGTTGAATGGAATTTTTTCTTTTAGATTTTTAATGTGAGATTTAATGTGAGAGTTAGATACTGAATGGGGAATATTAAGAATATGTTACCACACGATCACTCTTTTTCGCGAGATTTTAATCCAGAGAAGCGCGTAAATTCTAAATTTATAAAACGACTAAAAGTAAGATCAGTTATCCTAGTAAGAGTATCGATAACAAGACATAGAAATGAAGTATGGGATGAATTTCGTAATGTGATCTTTCCCCTACGAAAATTACATTGGAGACCATATTATATATTCTTAATCTTCAACCTGGAATATCGCGATACTTGAATTCTTAATAGAGTGAGAATCCAGTTAGAATGCAATTTCCTGAG